GCTTACTTATTGTGATTCTCTACAGGTACATAATATAGTCGTCTAACACATTGTGTCGGACTCTAAGGCTTACTTATTGTGATTCTCTACATGCGTGTCAGGATGTGATGTGCCGATATAGGCTAGCAAGTTATACAATGACTAGTAGTATGGGCTGCAGCAGCTAATACAGGAGGATGAAAAACAAATGCAAAAGCACAAACAGAACAGTTACACAGAACTCGGAGTCGGGGTATGATTATGTAATTTGTTGTCTGTAATTGGAACCCCCAGATCTAGATCTCGGCCACGCCATGCTTGCAATGGCCCATACTCGCACGTATGTTACAACGGGTGCGTCTTGATCTGTCAAAAAACAGCACATCGCTCAAACTCACAGGAATGTTAGCTACTTGACAGCTTGGACTCACCCCCGCCGAGCTTCCATAGCAACCTCATTGTTGCCACGCAGAGGCTCGCAGGAAGATCAGGCCTATATCCTACATGTTACGAATTGACCGACATAACCGCCATTGAAAGCTTGCCTGTGCACGATGGAGGCTTTACCGACATTTACAAGGGATCTTTCAAGGGCCGGCCAGTGTGTTTGAAGGTCGTTCCGAAAAGTGACGATGCATCAGAAGCCCGAATGCAACGTTGGCTAAAGGTACTTCTTGATCTTGGACTTCCGAGGAGCAATATTCACGAATGACATAGGATTGTTCGAAAGAGTCCATCCTCTGGGGTCAGCTATCGCACCCCAATCTTCTCCCTTTTTATGGAATCTATCGCTTGAGAGGCCAGATTGCTTTCATCGCTCCCTGGATGGAATACGGCGATGTCACTGAATACCTGAAAAAGCACCCAGAGGCAAATCGTGTTCTGTTGGTAAGTCTTGAACATCACCTATTGCTATTACGTCAAGAGCCGCATTGACGCCAGTTACCCTAAGTTGCTCGACATCACCCAAGGGTTGCAATGTTTACACACGAAGGGGATAATACACGGGGACTTGAAAGGGGTGAATTTCCTGTCCTTTATTGCCGATATCCATCTCTGATGAAGAGCTCACACAGTTGAACATCCTTGTGAGAGAGTCGGGAACGGCTTGCGTAGCCGACTTCGGCCTGTCAGCCGTTTCGGATAGAAATATCCTTAAGTGGGCATCGCAATCGTCTGTGGCTTCGAGAGGAGGCACGGTCAGGTGGCAGGCACCCGAACTCCTTCACCCGGGGAGCTTCGATGAGATGCGGAACACCAAAGCCAGTGACATCTATGCTTGGTCATGTGTTGCTTATGAGGTGAGCCATGAGTTTTACGCTACCGGGTCATGGGCTGTGGCTAACGATGTCTAGATTTTCACAGGAAACATTCCGTACCCTCACATTCCTTATAACGCCCTCATCAGTGAGGAGGTTCGGAATGGCGCGCGGCCTAGACGGCCATCAAACTCTAGCAATAGCTGGCGTGCTTGGGGCCTGACAGAGGATATGTGGTCGTTGATGCAGGACTGTTGGAAAGCCAATCGTTTAAACCGTCCGACCGTCGAGGATGTCGTCAAACGTTTGTCCGGGATGCTATCCCCAGCAGTCATACGACCAGTTGAGCAGGACACCATGTTTTCACCAGCGCAATTTCGGCAGTTGACACGACAAGGTTCCGAGCATGACGAGCTGACAGTCGATGTCTTCGAGAGCCTGTTAGAAGCTTCCTCGGCCTCGAACCCGAGTACATAATTCGTGTTTACTATGTTTACTAAGGTGCTATCTACCTCTGCTACAGAATAGCTAAGGACGTTCTCTTGTAGTACTTTAAATTTTGTCCAGGAAGACAATGTCATGCCAAAATAGTTAAAAATTGTATGACGCTAACCGATTCAGAAAGTTGCCCCGTTACGATATCAAAACCCAGTCTAGTAATTACATAGAGCCTGGAGCTCTCAAGGTAAAATGATGTTTAGTCTACACGATTTCGGTGATTGTGCTTATGTGGGCCTGAAATGATATTGCCTAATTCAGACAACAATCTTGCCTTTTCACCGACGCGTTGCTTTCGTCCTCTCCATGTCTACGCAATGTCCACGCATATCCTATCGCTCCCAATTCCTCTCATCATACTAGTGCATCTCCATATCCTAGAATATCCGCACGCCAATAAACCGGAGTACGATCACAACATATTCGAACCACGCGTCCGTGGCTTGCGTGAACGCACAAAGTTACTGGAAGACGTCGCTTACTTTCTTGTTGGACGGCTTGAAGGGACTGCTAGAAAGGTATGTGGACAGACTGTCGCTTTGATCAGGATGCTCATGGCCACAGGTTCTCTCTACCTACCCTTGTGCAGCACCATCTGACACGGTTGCCTTTCGAACTTCCCTGTCCAAATACTTAGAGACGTTGCGGCATGTCTCTATATACCCGACTTCCAAGGCTATCACCGGAGCCAGCGGAAAAACGAAAGGCAAAGAACCTGCCAGAGAAGCCGACAACGCGGCTTGGTGGTGGAAAGACGTTATCGTGCGCAAGTCGTTACTCGAAGAGTGTGCTGGTGAGAGGTGTGGTTGCTCTACCTTTTAGCACACGGACTCCTATAACTTTTTAACACAGATTCGAACGGTTGATGCTATCTGTATCAACGCACGCCGTGCTAAAGAGTATTCCTCAACCTCTTAGGGTCATTCCCGAAGATATGAACGTGCGGTACTATTTCAGCATCTTCATGGTCCTCCCATCGCTCATCCTTTCTCAGCTCTTTCTCAGCTTGCAGCCTACGCTCTACGCTGATCTTCTCACAAGGTGTATGTCAGCACGGCATGCCTGGGCTCAGTCCGCCGCGCATCTACTGCAGCGTGAAGCAGATCTCCGGCTCTTGCGGGTAAGTCGGTGCACGAATCCTCTAGTTGTCGTCATTACTTAAATATGGCATAGGAACACCTTCGATCCCATGGGGGTGACATTACATCGAAATATTCCACACTATCCATAGAAAGATTATCCGCGCTTGTGGAAGCTAAGTGCCAGGATCTCCTGCGTCATCGCTGGTCCGACCCAAGTGGTCGACGGGCGCTCGACTTCTTGGCCAAGGCTTGTGGTCTTGAAGTCGCTAACGCGTCAAGTGTGGAACATAATTCCTTGAATCCAACAAACGTGCAGTCTAAGTCGAATGTAAGCCAAACCCGAGATAGGCCTATACATCATCTAATGCTCTAAGACCTTTTAGTACCCGGCGGTTGCCCCGCTTCCTCTTCCCCTAGCGGCAGGTCACCATCCTGGCCATGTCAAGAAACTACGAAAGCCCGTGTTCTCGACTCCGAAGCCGCAGCGTCCCGTTCAAAGTACCGAGGCCGTGGCCATGGGCAAACGGACTAGATCTATGGCGACGATCATGTTCTCAGACCGCTCTGAATATGAATCGAGAATACATGAAGCCTTGAGCGCGGCGCTGGAAAAGGCGAGAAATGTTGGACACGACATTGCTGCGCGTGCAAAGGCTCTGCAAGAAAGACGCCAAGCAAGGCGACCTAGAGGAAATCCCGCTTTTACCCTTGACCTTTGGCAACCAGATCCTGATGCGCCTGTGAATTTTGATGTGGGTATCTCGTGTCCTCTTTGCTTTCTATCGAGGCTGAGTTTGACTTTTCAAAGATACAACCAACACCAGAGCTGCTCGCGGCATTCTCATTGGATGCGGGCGGCTCAGAGGCGGGGATAGAGGTCCGCATCGATGAAATCCGGAACACGGTGCTGCCAGCCTATCCCCCGGTTCCAGATCTTTCTGCGCCTCGGGCTCCACATCCAGAAGCGGTGCTGCAATCCTCAAAAACCGAGCCTTCCAAGATTCCGCGTGGAGGACTCAGCAAGCCTTCACGGCCTGTGACCCCACCAAGACCGCCCTCCCCAGGGCTTTTGACGTCGACTCCACCTGCGACTATCAGGCTACCCACGGGACACTGTCACAAGGTCGTCGCCAACCAAGGGAAGGCGAAGCCTGGTACACAGCGAACTTCGAAGGCGCCAAGGAAGTCGATCAGGTTCTCCCTTGCTATAAACCGTCGGCCATCACTCTTCGCTACTGGAAACCTCTCCGACGAGGAAGACGTGCTGCAGTCCGATGTACATAGGGTAAGACATTATACGCTCCATTCTTTCCTGTGTACACGCACGCTAACGAAGTGACAGATCATACATGGTATACAGGACAATTCCACAGACGAGGAGGATTTGGCACCGATGACGCCGAAGGCCAAACCAAAGCCCGTTAACCGCATCTTCACTGGCAAGAAAGGCGGATCGACGATGAAGCGGCCGAAGCAGTCCTACCCTATGGTGTTCCAGGAGCCGGCGGTGCCTCTCCCGTCTCTTGTTTCGGGGTCAACATCGTTCGATGATCTGTTAGCATATAGCGATGCCGATGATGATTCTGGATTGTACACGGACGAGGCGCCGAGTATGACGCTGCGGGAGATATTGCTCAGCGCTGATACGACGCAGTTTGCTCTGTTGGGTGCGTTTGTTAGATCTTTGAACTTTTTGGCTGAAATTGTCGACTGATCGGGGATCTATTTCAGAGGATGAGCCGGCAGACATGGAGGGCGAGTCGTTTGATTGGGAGTAATTGGTGCCATTTGGTGGTTTGACTGTATCCTCCCTAGACTCGAACCCAGTTGTCTTGTCCGTAATTCGCAATGTTCAATAGAGGCGCACGCGATGTTAAATCAGGCAAATCGGAAGTGTTGTTTTTGGTATGTGTTTGGCGGGTAATTACTACGAAGACAGTAATTACACCCCAACAGTGTACCATATCCGTAACGGCTGGTGTCGAGACTTGTATGTCCCTCGTAGCTCTTATAATAGGTGCGATCCTGCTGAAAATCCTGCTCATTACTCTGCGATCGGAGGGAAACATTTACTATATCATACATCATGCATATCACACCAAAGTCGATCGAACCGAGAGGGTTATAGTGTTTTTGGTGGCTCGTAAGAGAGTAGCAAAAAGCTCATGGGAATTGATACTATAGCCCACCGCGAGGGTCGAACTCGCAGCCTTCAGATGTTCTAACGTCCGTAAAAGTCTGACGCTCTAGCCGATTGAGCTAGGCGGGCCCGCTGGTTACTGGTAGAGTACAATACAGGTTCTGATGTTCGGCCGTCGTGCGTATCACGCCGATCATGCATCATTCCCCGATTGGAGTGTTGTTTGAGCCTTGTAGTCGTCCTGCAACCGAAAGTATTCCCATTCCACCGCTCGATGTGCCTGCCCGGACAAAGCAACAATCCTCGTGCAGTAGCTAAATGAGTCGAGTCGAAATGACTCATCGCGCCAGTGGCACAGTCGACCAAGCCGGCTTATAGTACATAATTGCTGTTCTATACGCATTGTGCTCCCGCAGACGCGTGGCGCAGCTTGATTACGGAGGATGGTCATGCTTATCATCTTCATCTGGCACGCATGTTCCGGGTTTTCCCCAGCTTCTCTTCTGCCAGTGCTTCTTTCTGTCAACGCTATCAACATCGACATCTTATCGTGGACTCATGGCATTCTGAAATAATCTGCAACGAGGCCATTACATCCAATCATATATGGCGTACCCATTCCTTTCCTGGAGGATCCGCGAGACTCCCTTCCGATGTGGAGTGGGATCTATATCAAGGCCGTCGCTGGATCGCGAGGAACGGTATGGAAGTTCACCACGAGGCCACCTCACTTATGACTCGGAGATTGGTCAAATCGAAGACCTTGGACGATGATTACACCTCCATTGAATCCCATGGAATCCGTTACGGCGCCTACTTCCCCGACTTTTTCTGTGACGGATCCCTCAGACGAGTCCAAGATGCCATTGAACGAGGACCTCACAGTGCGTCGACAAAATTTGCAGATGGAATGATCGATCGACATATAGATTACACACTATGCAGGCGAATACAGAAGATGACCCTGGGATCGCCATAGCGTAAGCATTTTGCATTCTAAGTAGATGAAGACTCCGGGCTTCCTTTAAGCGCTGGTTATATTTAACAGTGTCATGGGCGCCACTGGAAGTGGGAAAACTACGGTCCGTGAACCAGCATTCTATGAGTAACAGGCCAACATTAATTTTGCACACTAGTTTATTAACTTGCTCAGTGGCACCTCGAACTTGATGGTAGGGCAGGGATTAGAGTCCTGCACGAGCGTCATCCAGTTCGCCGAGACTTTCGAATTAGATGGGCGATGTGTCAACCTCATCGACACTCCTGGGTTCGACGACACAAACCAAAGCGATACGGATATTCTCATAATGATCGCTGCGTTCCTTGAGACAACGTGAGCTCCTACAGCCGATTTGTGATGCCAGACCAGGATCTACCCTTGTCACAGATACAAAGTCGGCAAAAAGCTCGCAGGAGTAATATATCTTCACCGCATTTCAGATGTCAGGATGGGAGGCATTGCGGTCAGAAACTTCAAGATGTTTCGAGAGCTCTGTGGCGATAAAACCCTGAAGAATGTCGCTATTGTGACGAATAGGTGGGGAGAAGTCAGCAGGGAACTTGGTGAAGCCCGTGAAGCCGAGCTGATCAGCAAGGATAAGTTCTTCAAACCAGTCCTCGACAAAGGTGCTCGGATTTTGCGCCACGAGGACACGTTGAGCTCGGCCCAGCGCATTGTTAGGGCGATGCTCGACAACCAGCCCGTGCCTCTCCGCATACAGAGCGAGCTTGTTGATGAGGGGAAGTCTATTGCCGAGACGGCGGCCGGGGCTGAACTCAACCGTGAGTTGCTGGCGCAGTGCCAGCGGCACGAAAAGGAAATCGAGGGCCTACATGCAGAGATGGAAGGTTTGCAACACTGTCACGAATCGGTGTATAGAGATTTCGCTGATGCTCTGTGACAGCGGCAATCAAGGCCCAAGACGAGGAAACAAGGAACGAACTCGAAGGAGAGTGGACGAGGCTAACGGAACAGTCACGTCGAGCTGAAGCAGACTTTGAGAGGCTGGCTTCCGATTACAAGGAGGAGAAAGCTCGACTAGAGCAGACCATCAGACGCCTCGTGCTTCAGCATGATCGGCAGGTCCAGGATTTTGAGGGTCGCCTTGCTAAGGCAGAGTCTAAGGTAGAGTTTGCCGTGCAAGTGCTGCACTCCTCCTGCTCGAACACTTCTCTTTTCTCCTTGCAGAGGCCTTCCGACCTGGGCGAGCGCACGGTCACCACGAGTTCAGCTCAAAATCGTGAAAATGTGCTATGGTCGAGCTGTTGCACCAAGAATATGATGTCGAGTCGGGTTGGTCTTGTCGTCCGTGGCCAGCTCCACGAAAAGTGATTCGCTCTTTTCTGATATCAGGGGAGATGATTGAGTACGCGTTTGGTTGTCTTCATATGAATTATTTTCGGGGAAATATTGTATGTACTGACCCGATCACATCTACAACTTTTTTACGCCGACAAATCCCAATCGCCATGAATCGAGAAACTTTGAATCCAAAATCGATGTTAGGAGGCTTGTTCGGATCCATACGACAGTCTCTCAAGAGTAACTAGGGTGATTGGAGGCAATGGAAACTTCAACGCGTCGCTCGTCTAGCAAACGACTGCAGCCAGTCGTCCTTCAGCATCGCGAGTTGAGAGGAACTGAGAAGGTTTGAACCTCCGACAGAGGGAACTAACCCTAACCCAGCCTGTCACCCACGTTTCCGTTGTATTTCACGACCTCCTCAGACTCTCAGTTACAGTCTTAAGGTTGAGAGTCCCCCGAGAGAATAACCAGCTTGTACCCTCTTGAACGACTCGATATTAGCCCCGGCGTGTGAGTTTCAGAGTGAACTCACTGTATTGCCGTCTTACATGGTCGGAAATCAATCAGAACCAAGGCATACAACTCGGGACGAGCAAGTGAGCTCGAAGTTCACCATGATTGATTCTCACAACAACTGACGATATGCACAGATAGATTATCTTGAATCTCAGATACAGGCGTACAAAGCGCGGACGTCGCTTCTCCAGCAGCAGCAGATTTCGACGCTCGATACATTGGATGAGGTGCTACACCAACACAAACAAGAAATCGAGGAGGAAACTACAGCCAGCAAACTCTTGAAGCAGAGACTACGCAAGAACAAAGATGTATTGAAGGAAATAGAGAGGGAAAGGGATGATCTCCGCGATGTTGTACTCGAACTTATAGCGAAAGGTGCGTTTTACACAACTCGTCCTACTGAGCATGCATACTGACCTCGCAGGCTTATCCTAGTCGAAACGAGCCAAAATGATTTCAGATCATGGCCGTACAGTAAGCTCCAGCTCTCAAGCCACACTGGTGGGTTTCTTGTAAAACAACTTGGCGCACTAATAGCTGAATTAATTTCCTAGATCCTGCTATAGGAACCGACTATAAACAAACCCCCTCTATTCTCCCGTCCCAAGCACAGGAGATGCAAGAGAATCTCACCTACGCGGGTGGCATCGTCCGCGCCCTCAAACACGAGCTATTCCTCGAGCGTCAAGCCCACGCGCAAACACGTGCTCGTGTCCATGCGCTTAAAGCTCAAGTAGCCAGCCGTGATGCTGCACTTGAGGCATGGGCCCAACGCACCGGAACGTCGACTCCCGTCAGTGTAAAATCTCAGAACAAGAACGGGAAGGCGAAAGTGTCTAGGAAAGGCAAAGGGCCAGAAGCCCGAGATCTAGACCGCGCAGAGATTTCGTCGCTTTTCATCCAGACAGTCTCGAATAACAGGATGTTGGAACAGGAGATTCGAAATCTATTCAGCAACGTGAGTTTGGCGTCACATTTTAGTGGCCGATGGTCTGGCTCATTAAAATTGCAGCTCGAAAAGGCGCGGCTGAGGGCTGAGGCGCTCCCCAGTCTGCAGATCCCATTGCCACCTTCATCATCACCACCGCCGATGCTGCCCAAGGGACCCAGCAAAGCAGCCTCAACTTTCCTTCCGTCGTCACCTGACCGCGGACGTCCTAGGGAAAGGAGAGTCACTCATCATATCCCGCACGAGCACCGCTCGCACACCCGCTCCTCGTCACCTCATCAGGAGCTGATTCCGACCCACTTCAACCCGCAACCTATCGCGGGGCCGAGCAACCCCCCGACTCGACGCCGAACTTCAAGTCCACCACGACGACGCTCACACACTCCTGCACCAACCACCTCTCACACGCACGACCATCATACCAAACCATCACAACATGCATCCAGATCCCAATCCCGTCACCTACCGTACACCCGACCACCCCCAGTAACTGTGATCCCGTCTCCCAACAACGTCCTTCACCATCTTGACGACCAGATCCACCTACTCTCCGCCCAAATCGATGCCTTCCGCGCCGAGCGTGCTGCCCTCCTGCGTGTCATCGATTCTCAGCTGCGTGGTAGACGAGAAGCCTCTCCAGCTTCGAGATCTAACGAGAGAAACTCCCCACTCGACCCGAAGTATTTCCCTCTCGACGATACAGACGTGCCTCGCCACCGGGAAGATGTTGCTTTCGAGAGGGAGCATGGCTCTCTCGACGGCGATGAGATTTCCCGTGACCAGGAATATATCCCATATGACCAGAAACATGGATACTCCGAATCCGAGGCAGAACCCGAACACGAAGACCTCAATCGCCAATCGAATGAGCCCTTCGGGGTCGGCGACGACGACGAGGGCACGGAAGGCGGCGAACGCTCGATGGACCTTGCAACGCCGTCGTTCCCTGTGCTCATGGTGCTGCCCGTTGTGGATGCTCAGTCTCCACAAGGACAGCCCCCTTTGAGTCCTCCGATGCCCACATACGCATCGGGACCATCGCGAAGCAGGAGTCGGAATCGCGTTCCGAGTGACGATAGCGCCGGCGCTAGTGCTCCAGGAGATGGGGAGGCGGCGGGCGAGGTGGAGCAGTTGGTGGATGCGCGCCTAGAAGGCGCAGACGACCTCGATGAAAATGAGATACGCATGATCCGCCCTCGGATGGACGCCGAGGGGCCACCATCTGCACCATGATCTACAGGTGCGACTCGACCAACGGCGGGGCGGAGGGTTTGGCATCTCGATTCGATGGCCAAGCGAGTCTGACGCCCTATCTGTTGGTGCCGCTTGGCCTAGTCGGCTAATAATCGTAGGGGG